CTTCCTAAACAAATCTGATCAAGCCCATAAGGCAACTGCTTCATTGAGGAACTCACAACTGAGAGGGTCACAAGGATCTGCCTATAATGGTGGTGGAGGTGGACTGCCTGGTCCTTACCAGCATCTTGATAGCCCAAACTATTCTCTGAACAATTACGCATTAAATCCAGCTGTTGCTTCTATGATGGGTAGCCAACTTGGGACTGGTAACTTTTCTCCAATGTATGAAGATGTTTCCGCGGCATCTGCTTTGGGTTTTTCTGGAATGGACCACAGACTTCATGGGAGAGGTTATGTATCTTCTGGTCAAAACCTCTCTGAGTCACGTAACCTTGGAAGGATCAGTAATCGAATGATGGGAGGAGGTCTTCAGTCACATATTGCAGACCCAACGTATCATCAGTACGGGAGGTTCCCGGAAAATGCTGATCTTTTTAATGATCCTGCAATAGACAGGAGCTTTATGGGTAATTCCTACATGAATATGCTTGAACTTCAGAGGGCTTATCTCGGAGCTCAGAAATCACAGTATGGTGTCCCTTACAAATCTGGGAGTCCTAACAGCCGTAGCTATTACGGGAGCCCAACCTTACAGTATGGTTGTAATATGTCATATCCTGGCAGCCCATTGGCTCATCATGTTATGCCAAATCCTCTTGTGGCACCTTGTAGCCCTGTGAGACGAGGTGAAGTTAATATGCGATATCCCTCCGCAACAAGAAACTATTCTGGAGGTGTAATGGATGCTTGGCACATGGGTGCTAGTTTGGATGAAGGTCTTGGATCGTCATTGCTTGAAGAGTTCAAAAGTAACAAGACAAGAGGATTCGAACTTTCTGAAATAGCTAGCCACGTTGTCGAGTTCAGGTACTTCCTCGAAAAAGTCTTTACCTTTATTCTTGTGTACTGTTTATCCTAATCTACGGCGTATATTTTGGACTCATTTTGAAATGGCTGACCAGTGCGGATCAATATGGGAGCCGATTTATTCAGCAGAAACTCGAGACAGCAACAACTGATGAGAAAAACATGGTGTATGAGGAGATCATGCCAGATGCTCTTGCCCTGATGACTGATGTTTTTGGAAACTATGTAATTCAGAAGGTAAATTTAATCCTCCTTTCTGTTTTTTTGGAGCTTGGACATTCTTACTAGAAAGATTCCTGAATATGCTATTCTTCCTACAGTTCTTTGAGCATGGACTCCCCTCTCAGAGGAGAGAGTTAGGAGAGAAGCTCTTTGACAACGTTTTGGCTCTTAGCTTACAGATGTATGGTTGTCGTGTTATCCAAAAGGTAATGTCTAATTCTCACCTGTTCTACATTTCCTAAAAGCTTGTCTTGTATTCTCCGTACAGTTACAGATTCGTTATGGTTATGTTGTTTCACCATTCTAGGCAATTGAGGTGGTTGATCTGGACCAGAAAATTAAGATGGTGAAAGAACTTGATGGACATGTGATGCGATGTGTACGCGATCAGAATGGGAATCATGTGGTTCAGAAGTGCATCGAATGTGTGCCTGAAGAAAACATCGAATTCATCATTTCAACTTTCTTTGGTCAAGTTGTGACCCTCTCCACTCACCCATACGGCTGCCGTGTTATTCAGGTTCTTACTCGTACTGATGAAACCTCTCTTGGCCTTATGCTTCTTTCTTAACACGCTTTTTCTTCTCCTGCTGCAGAGGGTATTAGAGCACTGCCATAACCCGGATACACAGAGTAAGGTTATGGAAGAAATCCTGTCCACTGTTAGTATGTTAGCCCAAGATCAGTATGGAAACTATGTTATTCAGGTTTGTAAAAGTATTTATTTTCTTTGCAACTTGTGATCTTATATTGTTTGCTCAAAACTGATGCACATTTTGTTGACAGCATGTGCTGGAGCATGGAAAGCCTGATGAGCGTACTGTGATAATCAAAGAACTAGCAGGGAAGATTGTTCAGATGAGCCAGCAGAAGTTTGCGTCGAATGTTGTTGAGAAATGTTTGACTTTTGGAGGTCCAGAGGAACGGGAATTGCTTGTAAATGAGATGCTTGGTACAACTGATGAAAACGAGCCTCTTCAGGTTTGTCAAACACACTTAGTTTTAGATGATTGCCCGGGAAAATAAAGAAACTAATAAAGCTCATATGCTTCTTCTTGTTGTTGTTGTGTATATAGGCGATGATGAAGGATCAGTTTGCAAACTATGTAGTGCAAAAAGTTTTGGAGACGTGCGATGACCAACAGCGTGAGCTGATACTTACCCGTATTAAAGTGCATCTTAATGCGTTAAAGAAATACACTTATGGAAAGCATATTGTTGCCCGTGTTGAAAAACTCGTCGCTGCTGGAGGTTTGTACATGTTCCTTCTCTTCTATGTGTCCAAAGTTTCAGCCTTCGCTGCCTTTGAGACAGTATAAGCATTTCAGTGTCTTTAAATGGGTTCTTTTTGTTATATGCAGAGAGGAGAATGGGTATGCCGTCTCTAAACCTGCCTCTGGTGGCTTAAGGCGGCCAGTGTTGTACAGCTTAACTAGGGAGGATGGCTTTTCCGTAGCGTTTTGAGAATTAGGTAAGATCTAAACCAAAAAATCTGCGGGAAATTTGTGAAAGAGAGCTTTTGTTTGACCTCCGCAAAATCTGTACATTGTGTAGTGTCTTACCGTTTTTAGTATACATAGAACCAAACATCCCTCCCCTCTTTAGGCTGATCATGAGTAAGTGAAAAAAAAAAAGGCAGAGAATGGTGTAAAGAAAAAAAATGGTGTGAGGATTTTAGAGTTTCCTTCACATGTACAAAAAGAATGGCTCTCATGCCAATGTGTATGCTTTTAGGACAGTCACGATTTCAAGGGTTTCATCAAAACTCTTTATTTCTTATTTCACGATAACTCTTTCCGTTTCTGGAATTTTCATTTTTGTTGCTGATGTTGGTCTGGATACTTGTTACGCAAGAAACGTATGATATATTTAACAATCACTTGAACCTTGCAAACAAGTTCGATTTCTTCTCTCTGACATTGGAAGAGAATGTTCTACACCTGTTTTCTAGCTAAACTCTCTCTTTCAAACTTTCCTCGGACAGAGATTCTGGTCGCACACACTGGTCAGAATCTTGATACCGGTTTAGAGACTCTTGAACCGGGTCTGGCATCCAATGTTGAAATTCAGTGAATTCGCTATTAGACTATTGCAAATTTTGTTATTTCATCATTGAATGGGTAAAGAGTGGTGTAGATGTACAAATTTTCAAAAGCAACGACTTAGCAGATTGCACTATAATCACAAATAAACTTGGACATTCCTGAGTCTGTCACCAAATAAACCAATACATGTTAATAGTCTTTCTAAATATGGAAGTTGCTATCTTAGCTAACTGCTATCTTGCCTATCAACTCTCAGAAAAGAGTTGGATAGAGAGCTTAAGTCAACACATCCACCAATTGATAACTCGGATTTAACATGCATTGTCTTGAAAATTCCAGACTCAATTTACTCCTACACATAATGACAATATGTGTTATTGTGTTTAGTACTGAAACACTGGATTGTATGCAATGTGAAAGCTGTTGTGTTATCACAATAGAAATAATGTAGTACACTACAAAACAATGTTCGATGATTAGGATTGTCTCTACCAACTCTACACAACACATTCACAAAGCATCATCGAGCTCCAAACCAAAAGTATCAGACAACTGTTTTTTTTTTTTTATCAAATCATACAACTGTTTCTAAACCTGAAACATTCTCATGGTTGCTTGATAATGGAGATTTATAACAAATCACCTAAGATCCAGGAAATTTGGCTCTTCAGTACCTCGACTACATGTCTACATGTTTGATAATGGAGATTTACACCATTCATTCATATGGATTCGCTTTCATTTCTTTTATTCTTTCGTTTACTTTCCTTTGCAAATGTTTTACTAGTGCCACAAATTCAAAAAAAAAAAGATCTTATCTCTATGAGAGTTTTATTTTGGGTAAAAATCTCTATGAGAGTTACATGAGAATTACAAAATTACTATTATATTTGATCATAAAATAGTTTTTTTAGATACAGAGAAATTTAATAAATAATGCATTAGGAGTTTAGGATTTCTAGTTTGATGCAAGTATTCCAAACTAATGAAAGACGTGGATAATAATTTCATTTATGGGGACAAAAAAAAAATAATCAAAATAATGAATCTAAATATTTTTGTTAAAAAAGTCTCTTTAGCCTACTAACTAATGTGATGCATGGAGATCCGTTTGACATGTTTGCAGACGGAAAATTTATCTATTATATAATTGTCGATATAATAGTTTTCATAATGATAGATAAATGTTAATAAAATATATATTATGTAAAAAATAAGATGAAATTCTATCATTAAATAATAATCATCACTAACTACTTTAATAAAACGTCACCATCGAATAATTTGAGCTGCAATTAAACCCTAACATCTTAGAACATTCAAACGATGGTCACTCGACGTCTTAAAAACAAAATCAACAAACTATATCCAAAGTTTTTTTTTTATATGGTATTTTCAACAAATTTAAGTGTTCTGAATTAGAAACAAGACCAACAATATAAAATTTCATATTCTCAAAACATTGGACGACATGAAACAATTAGTGAAAATATCAATGCTTGAATTCAACATCATTAACGAACCTTTTTTTTACTTCCTAATCCAAATCTCAATTTGGTTAATTGACGATGGGCCTCTATAGGGTAAAAGAATTCAAAACAAATTTTTGAAAATGTGTCTTATTACGAAAAGTTTTCATCAACAACATATAAGAGATGTACTACTCTGAGATTTTTTAGTCATGTCGTTAAACCAACAAACAAATCGTCAATATCTGAGATGTGTACTTATCTCTCTTATTAATTGATTTTTCCATTCGATAATAATAATTGTTTTTTTTTGTTTTCTTTAATTTCCATGATTAAATGGCACAAGAAACCCTAAGGTTCTTGCATCGCCGTCGGATATTTCCGTCAACACTATAAAACCCATTTTCCCCGTTGAGCTCAATTTCGCTATCTCTTTCATCTTTGTCGTTGTTAGGTTTTTTCTCTTTTTACTTAAACAACAGTAACATGGAAAAATCAGTCATCGAAAGAAACTCCTGAATTGATTTGAGTACCGCCTAAAGTTTTGATCTTTGGGTTCTTTCTAATAAAAAAAGAGATTTTTGGGGATTGTATATATTGAGGTAAAAAGGTCTGATCTTTAGGATTCATTGAAAGTTTAGCATATGAACATAATCTCAAAAATTGATATTTTGGGGTTTTTTGTTGTTAGGTGATAATGATTCCGGAACTGGGAAGAAGGCCGATGCATAGAGGTAACGAAGATTCAGCTTTTGGGGATGATTACGAGAAAGAGATTGGAGTATTGCTCGGCGAGCAGCAGAGACGGCAAGAAGAGGCTGATGAGCTCGAGAGAGAGCTAAACTTGTACAGAAGCGGCTCTGCTCCGCCGACTGTGGACGGTTCTGTAAGTGCCGCCGGTGGGCTTTTCACCGGAGGAGGAAGGGCTCCTTTCATGGAGTTTACTGGAGCCAATAAGGGAAATGGGTTTGGAGGTGACGATGAGGAGTTTAGGAAAGATCCAGCTTACTTGTCTTATTACTATGCTAATATGAAGTTGAATCCGAGGTTGCCTCCGCCTTTGATGTCTAGGGAGGATTTAAGGGTTGCTCAGAGGCTTAAAGGGAGTAGCACCGAGTTCTTAGGCGGTATTGGGGATAGGAGAAAAGTGAATGAGAATCGATCTTTGTTCTCTATGCCGCCTGGTTTTGAACAGATGAAGCAGCAGCAGCACGAGTTTGAGCCTGAGAGAACCAGTGCTTCGTCTTCTGAGTGGGATGCTAATGGATTAATTGGTTTGGATCTTGGAGGCAAACAGAAGAGTTTTGCTGATATCTTTCAGGTGATTACTTTTTTTTCCCCTTCTTTATATGGTCTTTACTCTAATCAGAACAACTTCACTCGAGAATATAAACTCTCATCTCATTTCACATTTGATTCTACCTTATTCTCGCTGTATATTCTCGTGTATGTAAAGTTGATGAATTGCTTCTGTACAGGCTGACCTGGGACATGGGAATCCCGTCTCACAGCAGCCCTCTCGTCCTGCAAGTCGTAATACCTTTGATGAAAATGTCGACTCCGCAAGTAATCAGTCTGTATCTGCACCACAAGGCATTGGTGCGCCAACCCCTTACAGCTATGCAACTGTTCTGGGTTCTTCTTTGTCTAGAACCGGAACTCCAGACCCACAGGCGGTTGCTAGGGTGCCTAGTCCCTGCCTTACTCCTATTGGGAGTGGAAGAGTGAGCTCAAATGATAAGAGGAACAGTTGTAATCAAAGCCCATTCAACGGTGTTACTTCTGGTCTCAACGAGACTACTGATCTAGCTGCTGCTTTATCTAGTATGAACCTGTCAGCCAGTGTTGGGATTGAGCGGGGTCAGGCTGAGCAGGATGTTGAAAAGGTCAGGAACTATATGTTTGGTCAGCAAGGTGGGCATAATGAAGTCAATCAACACAGATTCCCAAACAAATCTGATCAAGCCCATATGGCAACTGGTAATTGGAGGAATTCACAATTGAGAGGGTCACAAGGATCTGCCTATAATGGTGGTGGAGGTGGACTACCTGGTCCTTACCAGCATCTTGATAGCCCAAACTATTCTGTGAACAATTACCCATTAAATCCAGCTGTAGCTTCTATGATGGCTAGCCAACTTGGGACTGGTAACTTTTCTCCAATGTATGAAGATGCTCTGGGATTTTCTGGAATTGACTCCAGACTTCATGGGGGAGGTTTTGTATCTTCTGGTCAAAACCTCTCTGAATCACGTAACCTTGGCAGGCTCAGTAATCGAATGATGGGGGGAGGTCTACAGCCACATATTGTCGACCCAATGTATCATCAATATGCTGATTCTCTTGATCTTCTTAATGATCCTGCAATGGACAGGAGCTTTATGGGTAATTCATACATGAACATGCTTGAACTCCAGAGGGCTTATCAGGGATCTCCGAAATCGCAGTATGGTGTCCCTTACAAATCCGGGAGTCCTACCAGCCATAGCTACTATGGGAGTCCAACGTTTGGATCTAATATGTCATATCCTGGCAGTCCATTGGCTCATCATGTTTTGCAAAATTCTCTTTTGTCACCTTGTAGCCCTTTGAGACGAGGTGAAGTTAATATGCGATATCCTTCTGCAGCAAGAAACTATGCAGGAGGTGTAATGGATTCTTGGCACATGGGTGCTACTTTGGATGAAGGCTTTGGATCTTCATTGCTTGAAGAGTTCAAAAGTAACAAAACAAGAGGATTCGAACTTTCTGAAATAGCTAGCCACGTTGTAGAGTTCAGGTATTTCCATGAAACGCTTTACCTTTATTCTTGTGTACATTTATCCTAATCTAAGGCGTATTTTGGGACTCTTTTGAAATGGCTGACCAGTGCGGATCAATATGGGAGTCGGTTTATTCAGCAGAAACTCGAGACAGCAACAACTGATGAGAAAAACATGGTGTATGAGGAGATCATGCCACATGCTCTTACCCTGATGACTGATGTTTTCGGAAACTATGTAATTCAGAAGGTAGATTTTCTGTTTTTCCTTAGTTTAGACATTTTTACATGAAAATTTCCTAAATGTGGTCATCTTCATACAGTTCTTTGAGCACGGTCTCCCAACACAGAGGAGAGAATTGGCAGAGAAGCTCTTTGACAACGTTTTGGCTCTTAGCTTACAGATGTATGGTTGTCGTGTTATCCAAAAGGTAATGTCTAATTCTCACCTGTTCTACATTTCCTAAAAGCCTGTCTTCTATTCTCCGTATAGTTACAGATTCGTTATTGTTATGTTGTTTCACCATTCTAGGCAATTGAGGTGGTTGATCTAGACCAGAAAATTAAGATGGTGAAAGAACTTGATGGACATGTGATGCGATGTGTACGCGATCAGAATGGGAACCATGTGGTTCAGAAGTGCATCGAATGTGTGCCTGAAGAAAACATCGAATTCATCATTTCAACTTTCTTTGGTCAAGTTGTGACCCTCTCCACTCACCCATACGGTTGCCGTGTTATTCAGGTTCTTACTCGTTGTACTGATGAAACCTCTCTTTGGCCTTTTATGTGTCTTTCTAAATACGCTTTTCTTCTCCTGTTGAAGAGGGTATTGGAGCACTGCCATAACCCGGATACACAGAGTAAGGTTATGGAAGAAATCCTGTCTACTGTTAGTATGCTGGCCCAAGATCAGTATGGAAACTATGTTGTTCAGGTTTGTTTTAAATATGAGTTTTTTTTTCCAACTGGTAATTTTATATTCTTTGCTCAAAACTGATGTAAGTTTTATGGGCAGCATGTACTGGAGCATGGAAAGCCTGATGAGCGTACTGTGATAATCAAAGAATTAGCGGGGAAGATTGTTCAGATGAGCCAGCAGAAGTTTGCGTCAAATGTTGTTGAGAAATGTTTGACATTTGGAGGTCTAGAGGAGCGGGAATTGCTTGTGAATGAGATGCTGGGCACAACTGATGAAAACGAGCCTCTTCAGGTTTGTCAAACACATACTGTACTTCCACATTATTGTCGGGGAAAATGGAGGAACTAATAAAGCTCATATGCTTCTTCATCTTGTGTATCTAGGCGATGATGAAGGATCAGTTTGCAAACTATGTAGTGCAAAAGGTTTTGGAGACATGCGATGACCAACGTCGTGAGCTGATACTTACTCGTATCAAAGTGCATCTTAATGCTTTGAAGAAATACACTTACGGAAAGCATATCGTTGCCCGTGTTGAAAAACTCGTCGCTGCTGGAGGTATGTACATGTTCCTTCCCTTCTATGGATCTAAAGTTTCAGCCTTTATGTGCTACAAAGCCTCAAATTGTCTCTACTGCTTTGGTTGAGAAGAGCCTTCTAATGAGTATTTGAGCGGAAGAGACAGTATTAGCATTTCCACAGTTCCATGTCTCTAAGTGGGTTTGTCTTTATATACAGAGAGGAGAATGGGTTTGCAGTCCCAAAATGAGCCTCAGATGGCGTAAGGCCGCAAGTGTTGTACAGCGTAACTAGGGTGGATGGGTCTGCCATTGCGTTTTGAGAATTAGGTAAGATCTAAAACCAGAAATAATCTTGCGGGAGGTTGTGAAAGAGAGCTTTGTTTTCTCTGCAAAAATCTGTAAAGTTGTGTAGTTTCTTACGGCTTTTCTATACATAGAACCAAACATCCTTCTTAGGCTGATGAGTGAGTGAGTAAGAGAGAGAAAAAAAGGCAGAATGGTGTAAAAATGGGTTGTGAAATGGTGAGGAGTTTTAGGGTTTCCTTCACACATCGAGAATGGCTGTTTTCGCCAATGTGTTGAAGAGAGAATATGTTGATGCTTTTAGGACAATCCCAGTTTTAGAGTTTCCTTCTCCATCTATGTAATTTGTTTCATCACACTCTTATATCTTATTTCACGATGCAATCTTTTCGTTTCTGGAATTTGCCATTTTCTCTTGTTTATATTGGTCCATGTGCTTGTTACGCAAGAAACATTTGATTAGATCGCAGAGCATTACAACTATAATCGGACTCGTCTCTCTAACAATGGAAATAAAAAATCATTCAAGATCAATGTCAATGTCGTCATCTTCAATCTTCTGACCGAAACCTCTTGGTCCAGCTTTGGCTCTCGTTGCTTTCTTCTTTCCACTTTTCTTAGATCTCTTTGCTGCCTCTTCTTTCTCAAACTTCTCTCTCTCCCTCTTCCCTAGAAATTCAGTCACTCCGATGTACACAACCTGTAACATTTCAATATCTGAATCATGTTAAAACCGGTTTATACACTTGCAAACCGGGTTTCAGTTTTGTTCCATCTCAACATAGTTATAATAGATTTCGACAAGTTTGGATAAGATTGGTTTGTGGATAAACTTACACCAATGGTGAGAACAGTGAGAGCAAGAAAAGCGACAATGAGAAGCACTTGAATAATCAAAGCAAAAACGTCTTGACCACCACTAGACACAATGGCTTCAGAAGAAGAAGAATCAGAAGAAACGATCTCCTGGGAAATTTCCTCTGGAGTTGCAGAGAATCTCCATAGTTGGATTTTTTCCTGATTAAGAAGAAGAACACTAGGTGCTTGTTGTCTGTTAGAAGATAAGATCTTTCTCCTTGAGACAGACCAGGAGAGTGGAGATAACTGGTGGGTTTTTGCTGGACTTTGGAATCTTGGTCTGAAATTTGAAAGAGAGAGAGATGGTGTTGTTGTCGCAGACATCGTTCGTCCACTACTCTCTATCTCTTTAGATCCTGGGCATACCTCAACTTCGGTTTACTTTCTTGAGATTGAATAAACAGGATTAAAGAGATTACACATGGGCCGAGAAAAGCCTACTTTCCTATTTTATGGGCCTTAGCGACACTGAGAAGCACTTGTATATACAGTACCGGTCCGCTGTATAAATTATCAAACTTGGAACCGGGGAAAACAGATAATTTTCTCGGTTAACATCTTTGCTTAACTCAGATTCTTATTTTTGTCTGTTAGCTAATTACAACTGGAGCCTGGATTCTGGATCACTTGATATTTCGTATAATGGATATTCTTATTTTTGTCTGTTAGCTAATTACAACTGGAGCCTGGATTCTGGATCACTTGATATTTCGTATAATGGAAAAACAAATTACGATTACATAGCTCAGTTCCTCAAGATTTCTTTTCTTTTTTGATAAACTTTATCTGCTCATCCGGTCGGTTCCGGTAAAAATGCACCGAGTGGTATGGAGTGGACTTTTCTCTAGTTTAACGACTCAACGTATATGAGTTTCAAGCGAACTCGAGTTAATGGGGCATGAGATCCAAATGGACCACCACACTATTTATCCTGAGTTTGAAATGGTTTTTGTAGTCAGATCGTCTGTTATTGCTTGGGATTTTAGCTCAATTCTGACTACCCACATAATTGTGCTTTTGTTTCTAAGAGGGATTGGGTGTAGTAGTGTACACAATCCTTCTTACCACTAGACCAGACAATTTCTTAATATTTCGATTGAAGATTATGACAAAAAAAAACAAATTACTATTTTGTGATTTTAGAAATTCGAAACATGATCATAATTTTTCTATTACAATGCATAATTGTGAATCTTGATTGAAATATAACATAGAATTGTAGTTCTGTAAAAAAATTTCGTGGGAGTATTACGTTTTTGAACAATTCTGATGCAGAAATTGCATTCAAATGATCACATCATTTGGAACCGCATATGTTATTTTTTGGCCACAAGAACAATAATAGTTCATCCATTTGCAATTGGTGCATGCAATGCTAAAACAAACTTTTTTCTTTTTCTTTTGGTTTAAAACAAAAAATTTGAAACAAAAATGATTTTTTATTGATCGTTCCTTTTTTTTTCTAAAAGAATTAAAGGTACAGAGGATCGCATGCTTCAAATCACTGCCAATAATTTACGTGGGCTCTTTTCGTCTTTTCCCTCACGGTACTAGTTTGCTATCAGTCACCGTCGAGTGTTTAGTCTTTGAGGGTAAAAGAGAGAATACTCGGTGAGAGTCGAAATATAATGATCATAAGAAGAATTGCAAATTCTACATAAAGTAGCGAGAAGCGGGTAGATAGCTAGAAGACCGAGTAGTCAAGCACACTCAATCCAGTCTCAGCCTGATGATTCTTGAGAGATAGTACTCATTAATAGCTAAAGGGTAGACGCAAGTGAATGGGAGGGATGATAAAGAAACATTGGCTTAATTTCAACAATTTCTCCAGAAGTAAGTAGATTTCTAGGGGAAGAGAGGAGGTATATGTTTTGAAAAAGATGTGGGTTTAGGGTTTTGCTGAAACGAGGATTAGGATTTTGCTGAAACGAGGATTAGGGTTTTGACGACATTGATCTTTCATGACACATGTGAGTACTCTTATTTTACGTTTTCTTGCAAAAGAAGCAACAGGACCAATATCAACAACAAAACTGAAAATCCCAGAAACGAAAGAGTTGTCATTAAAGTAAACCCTAAAACTCTAAAATAATAAGCATTCTACACATTGGCTTGAAAGCCCTTCTTTTTGTACATGCAAAGATAACTCTAAAATCCTCACCATTTTTTCTTTACAACCATTTCTCTGCCTTTCACTTACTCATCAGCCTAAAAGGGGGATACTTGGTTCTATGTATAGTAAAAAACGGTAAGAAACTACACAATGTACAGACTTTGAGGAGATCAAACAGAGCTCTCTTTCACAATTTCCCGCAAATTTTTGGTTTAGATCTTACCTACTTATCGAAACGCTATGGCAGTAGCCATCCTCCCTAGTTAAGCTGTACAACACTTGCGGCCTTATGCCACCTGAGGCTGCAAACCCATTCTCCTCTCTGTATATAAGAAAAAAAAACACTCACTGAAATGCAATAGATACGTTTACATTGTCTCTCTCACTCACTCATATACTCATTGAAAGGCTCTACAACCAAGTAAGGCAATAGAAATCAAAGCAGTAATGACAATTTGTGGGTTTGTGAGTGGCACGTAAAGGCTGAAACTTTGGACTCATAGAAGAGAAGGAACAAATACATACCTCCAGCAGCAACGAGTTTTTCAACACGGGCAACGATATGCTTTCCGTAAGTGTATTTCTTCAAAGCATTAAGATGAACTTTAATACGATTAAGTATATGCTCACGTTGTTGGTCATCGCATGTCTCCAGAACTTTTTGCACTACATAGTTTGCAAACTGATCCTTCATCATCGCCTATATGCACACAACAAGAAGAAGAGAAGTATATGAGCTTAATTTGTTTCTTTCCACGACAATCATCTAAAACTAAGAGTTTTGACAAACCTGAAGAGGCTCGTTTTCATCAGTTGTGCCAAGCATCTCATTCACAAGCAATTCCCGTTCCTCTGGACCTCCAAAAGTCAAACATTTCTCAACAACGTTCGACGCAAACTTCTGCTGGCTCATCTGAACTATCTTCCCTGCTAACTCTTTGATTATCACAGTACGCTCATCAGGCTTTCCATGCTCCAGCACATGCTGTCAACAAAACTTGCATCAGTTTTGAGCAAACAATATAAGATCACAAGTTTCAAGGAAAGTGATTTTTATTAATACAAACCTGAATAACATAGTTTCCATACTGATCTTGGGCCAGCATACTAACAGTGGACAGGATTTCTTCCATAACCTTACTCTGTGTGTCCGGGTCATGGCAGTGCTCCAATACCCTCTGCAACAGGAGAAGAAAAAGCGTATTTAGAAAGACGCATAAAAGGCCAAAGAGAGGTTTCATCAGTACTACGAGTAAGAACCTGAATAACACGGCAGCCGTATGGGTGAGTGGAGAGGGTCACAACTTGACCAAAGAAAGTTGAAATAATGAATTCGATGTTTTCTTCAGGCACACATTCGATGCACTTCTGAACCACATGGTTCCCATTCTGATCGCGTACGCATCGCATCACATGTCCATCAAGTTCTTTCACCATCTTAATTTTCTGGTCTAGATCAACCACCTCAATTGCCTAGATATGTAAAATAACATAACCATAACGTAACTGTTACCTGAGAATGGAAGACAGGCTTATAGAAAAATGTAGAACAGGAGAGAATCAGACATTACCTTTTGGATAACACGACAACCATACATCTGTAAGCTAAGAACCAAAACGTTGTCAAAGAGCTTCTCTGCCAATTCTCTCCTCTGTGTTGGGAGACCGTGCTCAAAGAACTGTATGAAGATGACCACATTTAGGAAATTTTCATGTAAAAATGTCTAAACCAAGGAAAAACAGAAAATCTACCTTCTGGATTACATAGTTTCCAAAAACATCAGTCATCAGGCCAAGAGCATGTGGCATGATCTCCTCATATACCATGTTTTTCTCATTAGTTGTTGCTGTCTCGAGTTTCTGCTGAATAAACCGGCTCCCGTATTGATCCGAACTGGTTAGCCATTTCAAAATGAGTCCAAAAAATACGCGTTAGATTAGGATAAACAGTACACAAGAATAAAGGTAAAGCGTTCCATGGAAATACCTGAACTCCACAACGTGGCCAGCTATTTCAGAAAGTTCGAATCCTCTTGTTTTGTTACTTTTGAACTCTTCAAGCAATGAAGATCCAAGGCCTTCATCTAAACTAGCATCCATGTGCCAAGAATCCATTGCCCCTCCCGAAAAGTTTCTTGTTGCAGAAGGATATCGCATATTAACTTCACCTCGTCTCATAGGGCTACAAGGTGCCACAAGAGAATTGTGCATAACATGATGAGCCAATGGACTGCCAGGATATGACATATTAGACCCAAATGTTGGACTCCCATAGTAGCTGTGGCTGTTAGGGCTCCCGGATTTGTAAGGGACACCATACTGTGATTTCTGAGCTCCGAGATAAGCCCTCTGAAGTTCAAGCATATTCATGTAGGAATTACCCATAAAGCTCCTGTCCATCGCAGGATCATTAAGAAGATCAAGCGAATCAGCATACTGATGATACATTGGATCGGCAATATGTGACTGAAGACCAGCACTCATCATTCGGTTATTGATCCTGCCAAGATTACGTGATTCAGAGAGGTTTTGACCATTGAAGCCTCTCCCATGCAGCCTAGGGTCCATTCCAGAAAATCCCAAAGTAGATGCTGCGGAAACATCTTCATACATTGGAGAAAAGTTACCAGCCCCAAGCTGGCTAGCCATCATAGAAGCTACAGATGGGTTTAATGCGTAATTGTTCAGAGAATAGTTTGGGCTATCAAGATGCTGGTAAGGACCAGGTAGTCCACCTCCACCACCATTATAGGCAGATCCTTGTGACCCTCTCAATTGTGAGTTCCTCCATGAACCAGTTGCCTTTTGAGCTTGATCAGATATGTTTGGGAACCCGTGTTGATTGACCTCGTTAAGCCCACCTTGCAGGCCAAACATATAGTTTCTGACCTTTTCAACATCCTGCTCAGCCTGACCTCGTTCATCTAACCCACCACTGGCTGAGAGGTTCATGCTAGATAAAGCAGCGGCGAGATCAGAAGACTCGTTGAGACCAGATGTAACACCGTTGAATGGGCTTTGATTACTAGTGGCCCTCTTATCGTTTGAACTAACTCTCCCACTCCCAATGGGAGTAAGGCAGGGACTAGGCACCCTAGCAATGGCCTGTGGATCTGGAGTTCCATTTCTAGACAGAGAAGAACCCAGAACAGCTGCATAGCTGTATGGAGTTGGAGCACCAATGCCTTGTGGTGCAGATACTGACTGATTACTTGCAGAGTCGACATTTTCATCAAAGGCATTACGACTTGCAGGACGTGA